CCCTTCAGGCCAACTTAGTCTACCTTCTTATGTCTACAAACAGATACTAGACAATTAGTAGGCTTTGAAAAAAATTCAGAAAAGGAGAATCCAACATCTTTACTAGTTGTTTTTCCAATAGAAACTTACAATTTATATCTAATTAACCTAAACAATTTACTCTAGTTTGGCTTTTGTCTTTTAGTAAAGTTAGAAAACAATTTGCCCTCCATGTTAATACATCTGTTTTCCAGATACCAATTAATTCTTTTGATTTGTTCTCCTACAGCCTACCATCCCAAATACTCAGACATTGTAATTCTCTCTTCTGGATTTATAGATATAAACAATGTATAATCTCCAATGGGCCTATGAAAAGAAATTATTAACAAAAAATACTTAAGAAAATCACAAAAAGAGACAAGCAAATCAAGATGTGAACATAAATATATTCATATTAATAATTACATTAAATAAAGCCAAATACAGCCAACTTATTTTTGATAAAACAAACAGAAACACAAAATGGGGAAAGGATACCCTATTCAACAAATCGTGCCATGATAATTGACAAGCCACATGTAGAAGAATGAAACTGGATCCTCATCTCTCACCTTACACAAAATTCAACTCAAGATGGATCACAGACTTAAATCTAAGACCTGAAACCATAAAGGTTCTAGAAGACAACATCAGAAAAACCCATGTAGACATTGGCTTAGCCAAAGACTTCATGACCCAAACCCAATAACAAATGCAACAAAAATAAAGATAAATAGATGGGACTTAAACTAGAAAGCTTCTGCCCCACAAAAGAAATAATCAGCAGAGTTAACAGACAACTCACAGAGTGGGAGAAAATCTTCACAGTCTATACAACCAAAAAAGGACTAATATCCAGAATCTACAAATAAATCAAATCAGCAAGAAAAACACAATCCCACCAACAAGTGAGCAAAGGAGATGAACAGACAATTCTCAAAGAAAGATATACAGATGGCCAACAAGAATATGGAAAAATCCTCAACATCACTAATTATTTGGAAAATGCAAATCAAAACCGCAATGCGAAACCACCTCTCTCCAGCAAGAATGGCCATAATCAAAAAATCGAAAAATAATATATGAGGTGAAAAAGGAACACTTTTACACTGTTGGTGGGAATGTAAACTAGTACAACCGCTATGGAAAACAGTGTGGAGTTTCCTAAAAAAAACTAAAAGCAGAACTACCATTTCATCCAGCAATCCCACTAGTAGGTATCTACCCAGAGGAAAAGAAGTCATTATACAAAAAAGATACTTGCACACGCATGTTTATAGCAGCACAATTTGCATTGCAAAAACATGGAACCAGCCCAAATGCCCATCAATGAATGAGTGGATAAAGAACATGTTATATACACACACAAACACACACACACAGACACACACACACACCATGGAATACTGCTCAGCTACAAAAAGGAACAAAATAATGGCATTCACAGAAACTAGATGGAATTGGAGACTACTATTCTTTCTAAGTAACTGTAGTGAAGTGAAGTAACTCAGGAATGGCAAACCAAACATCGTATGTTCTCACTCATACGATGAGTGGGAGCTAAGCTATGAGGATTAAAAGGTATAACAATGATACACTGGACTTTGGGGACTCAGGGGAAAGGGTGGGGGTGGTAAGGAATAAAAGACTACATACTGGGTACAGTGTACACTGCTCGGGTGATGGGTGCACCAAAATCTCAGAAACCACCACTAAAGAATTTATTCACGTAACCAACATCACCTGTTCCCCAAAAACCTATTGAAATAAAAAAATTTTTAAATACCCCAAATGCTCCAATTAGAAGGCACAGATTGTAGGAGTTCTTCACATATTCTGGGTACAAATCATTTATTCAGACACATGTATTAGGAATATTTTTCCCAGATTATCATTTAATTTTTATTTTGATCACTATATTTTAACTTTTTGGACAACTTTTTTTCTTTTTTTTTTTTTTTTTTTTGAGACAAGGTCTTACTCTGTCACCCAGGCTGGAATGCAGTGGTGCCATCATGGCTCACTGCAGCCTCAACCTCCAGGGCTCAAGCAATCCTCCCACCTCAGCCTCCCAAGTAGCTGGAACTACAGGTGCATACCACCACGCTCAGGTTTTTTGTAGGGATAGAATCTCATGTTGCCCAGGCTGGTCTTGAACTCCTGGGCTCAAGTGATCCTCCTGCCTCAGCCTCCCAAAGTCCTAGGATTATAGGCATGAACCACTGCAACCAGCTGGACAACTTTTTAAAAACAATCTCAAATATATGAAAAAGTTACATGTATAGTACAAAGAACTGTTGTTGTTGTTCTTCTGAACCATTTGAGACTACAACTGCCAATCTGATGCTACATTATCCCAAAAACTTTTGTATGTATTTCCTATAAACAAGCACATGCCCCAACAGACTACAATATAAGAAAATCAGGTAATTAGACTGATGCATTACTTTCACACAATTGTCACTATGCATTTAAGTTTCAATAACTGTCTCAATGATGTATAATAAAAGGATCCAGTTCAATATCACATACTGTATTGTCTCCTTCAGTCCAAAACAGTTTCTCAGTCTTTAACTTTCATGACCTTGACACTTTTTGTTAATTATATACCAGTTTTGTTTTTTTTTTTTTTTTTTTTTTTTTTTTTTTTTTTTTGGTAAAATATCCTTGAATTAGGGTATAATTTAGACTTTATTATTAAACTCAGTTTTCATATGAATAATGCACCATTCTAATATTGAACAGTCTTGAATAGTCCATAATCCATCCTTTCCTCATTGGTTTGTAATATCTCCTCTAGTATACAATACATTTTTGCATGTATGGGCATGTTTCTAGCCTTTCTACTCTTTCCACTTACTTTTCTATCTAAGTATCACACTATTTTAATCACTATAAACTTATATTCCTAACTGCGTTCTACACCATAGTTATTACTTCCTGAAAACAATGCTCTTTCATGATCCCTTGTCTTAGCACAAATTGTGTTTTTCATCTACTCTAACCCTTCAACCTCCCAACCAACCTGACAACCAAGAAAAAATTTCACAATATTATTCTTTTAAGATCCACCCAAACATCACCTTTTTTAAACCTCTCAGAGAATTAGCTCCACCTTTCTGTTCTTCACAATACTCAAGTATCTATATCACTTAAAACATACAATACTAAAATAAGTTAGTTAGAGGTAGGGTCTTTATCATCCAGGCTGGAGTGCAGTGCTATGATCAATGGCTCACTACAGCCTCAACTTTCTGGGCTCAGGCAATCTGCCCACCTCAGACTCCCAGGTAGCTAAGATTATAGGCATGAGCCATTACGCCTGGCTAATTTTGATTTTTTTTTTTTTTTGTCGAGACAAGAGTCTCACTTGTTGCCCAGACTGGTCTTGAACTCCTGGCATCAAGCAATCCCAATCCTACTGCCTTAGCCTTCCAAAGTGCTAGGATTACAGGCATGAGCCACTGTGCTTGGGCCAAAAGTTATTTATTTAAATGCCTGTCTCCTTCAGTAATCTGTGAGTTATTCAAGTTGTAGGTAGCATGGCTTAAACTTACATTATCAAAATGTACCTCAGTAAATAGTATATAATAATATAGATTGAAAAGTATAAAGAAAAACCCTTAATTGTATCGATGTTTTTTTGGAAAGCAGGACTGTATTCTGCAGATGCTAAAAGCTATTATAATATCCCTTCAAAATAAATGTGTTAAAAGCATCTAAAAAATGAAAGCATACATACCTTCAGTGTCTTGATCATAGTTGGATCAGTTGACCTAACATAGAAGCTCTTCAGATAAGGTTCAAACATCCCCTAGATAATAAAAATTAACACATAAATACATTATGATACTAATAGGTTCATGTGTCTCTTAAAAGTATGTGTTCAGAACGTACATACCTTTCTTTGAATTGACATTGTTGCTATATTTTGTAGGACAATATACTGCACCTCCCTAGAAATCAGAAGAGAATTTTCACTGGGTATATTTTCCAATGAAACATATTTGAGTAAACACTACAATAATGAAAAAGAATTAGCAATAATTTCTTAATGAATGAAACTCTTAAATGTAATGCTGAAAAGTTTTTAGTAAATTTTAGATGTGTGTCTTCTTTTTAATGCACTTTTACTATAAAGTACCAATAAATTAGATGTGATTCATCATAAAGAACAGTTAAAAAAATTGTATAATAAAGTACTACTAAAATATGAAGTTAGCATTGTAGCTGCTTTGAATACATGCAAGGAAGGTATTCTTAGGGTTAATGGGGTAAATACGACCACAGTGTTATTATAAACTCATTAAATAACTCATTCTGCCCAGGGCAAAGACCAGACTTAAAAAGCAGTCATGTTATTTTTATATCCAAATACCTAATAAAAGAACTGAATCTGGCATAAGGTTTCAAGTGAAAGATCCACTCCAGATATTTCTGATACCCTCTGAACTAGCCATAGGAAAAAAAAAAAAATACTGAACTAGCAAAAGAGAAAAATAATAGCTGGGGATATAAAGATAGGGAGAATAGGAACACAAAGGAAATGGCATCTCATTTGTTACTAAGCCAATCAAGAGCTACAATTGTGGACTAAGTTCCAGTTGAGGGCAATATTCCCCCCACCAACCCAATTAGTGGAAGCAAGCACTCAATGAAAAAAATTGTTTCAAATTTAAAACAACTAATTACTGAAAAACAGCCAAGGTATGACAAATAGCTGAAACGAAGGTATTCTTAAACACAGAGAACAAAACAAAACAAAACAAAAGTCTGAATTAAACCTGAAATCATGATTTTCATGTTATATGGAAACTCAACAAATTGTTTTAAATTGTTGACCTAAACCACTGAATTATAAGGAGGTAAAATTAAAGAAAGAAAGAAGTAAAATTAAAATTAATTTCTGTCCATCTGAAACTAAGAGTGTGCAATCTTTAAAATGAGTAGCTATTAAAAATACAGCTCTCTTTTTAAAGTGGAGGAAAGCAGAGTAATTAAATATTCCAGCTTTACAGGAAGCACAATTCTGGCATATACTACATAACTTAGCATGCATATTGCTCTATATAAAACCATGTATTAATACATTGAGTAAGTCAATCGGATAGTACTTTGGAATAGTTTTTCAGTGATTCCAGATTTCCTAAAACTCCCAGACATCATTATTGCCATACCTAAAAATAGCAAACACTAACACTAGGCTACTAGTGACAGCCTAGTACTATGTCACAAAATATTTTCAATCTCTTTGAGCTTGAGGTTAAAAAATTTTCAGTATTTAAGTTTGAGATCAATGTATAAAGACTTTTATCATAACCCCCTTAAGCATGAAAACTTACTGACTGATTGATAAAATATAGTCAGTTATGTATTAAATGCCTGAAAGATTATATTTGTTCAAACATTACTTTTGAAAGAATACAAAAGAAAAAAATATATAAAATCATGACCTACCTATTGCTACGAAGTAAACGCACTAGTGATTTCGAAATTATGCCAGCTTCAGATTTTGGTGATATGTGCCAATACAGCTGAGCAACTGCCATAACCACCTACAAAATAAGGCATAAAAATAACAGGAATTATGAACATTACAGCACTCTACAGCTTCAAAATCCATTCCTATATATTATTTCCTCTAACTCCTACAAATTCCTGATAGATAAAATGAAATGTTAACTCTTTGTACTGAGTTGAAGAAGTGTCCCCCACCCCTAGTGCCGAATTCTATCCTCAAAATCTAATCTTATTTGGAAATAGGGTCTTTGCAGCAATTATTAATGGAAGAACTGAAATGAGATCATGCTGGTTAAGAGCCCTAAATTGAATGAAAGTGTCCTTACAAGAGATAGAAAAGGACAAAAAGAGACACAGTGAAGGCCACGTGAAGATGGAGATGATTAGTGTGATACATCCATAAACCAAGAAATGCCATGGATTGCTGGAAAACACCAGAAGCTAGGAAAGAGATGGTTTCTCCCTCAGAGTGTACAGAAGGAACCAATACTGATTATACCTTGATTTCAGACTTCTAGTTTCCAGAAATGTGACACAATAAATTTCTGTTGTTTTAATCCACTCGGTTTATGGCAGTATGTATGGCAGTGCTATGAAACGAATACATCCTCAGAAAAGAAGAGGCACTGAATGAACTGCTCAAGGTGTAAAGCTTAAGACACTCAAAATTCCATGCTTCTCGGCTGCTGCTCTGAGACCGGGGCTTTTTAAGAATTGTAAGCATGCCTTTCTAAATGAAGCCAGGATAACAGTAACAAGTAGGCAGAAATAAAGAAAACTCAGCACATTTAAGTTACAATTAAAGAAACTCCATCAAAACAAATACATCTATAGCAGTAGCATTTAAAATAATCTTGTTTTTAAAAACACAGAACCTTGAAAAGAGCTTTTGGTTCCAAGCCATTATAAGGGTGATTCAAAGACTACGCATGGTGGCTCACACTTGTAATCCCACCACTTTGGGAAGTCGAGGCACGTGTATCACTTGTGGTCAAACGTGAGACCAGCCTGGCCAATATGCTGAAACCCTAATTCTACTAAAAATAAAAAATTAGCTAAGCATGGTGGTGCATGCCTGCAACCTCAGCTACCTGGTAGGCTGAGGCACAAGAATCATGTGAACCCAGGAGGTAGAGGTTACAATGAGCTGTGAGATCTGCCACTGCACTTCAGCCTGGGCAACAGAGTGAGACTGTCTCAAGGAAACAAAACAAAACAAACAAAAGGTGATCTGAATTTCTTTGTTTCAAAACATAAGAATACTGTTTCCCCTACATGCCTCTATACTCAGATTCAGAGTGACAACTGCAGAAACATAGTTACAGATGTTACCAATACTGTCTTTGACTCAAAGGACACACTAATAATACTTTAACTCTGCTTGGTCCATAAAGTTTGAACAAATATGTGGCAAAAGTTCTATTAATACATATGCCTAAATAGTATACAGCACAGGAGAGTGTTTGAAGTTAAAAAAAAAAAAAAAAGTTTCTTCTAAAACTAAAAAACTGTTTTAAAAAATATGGTATACAGGGTGCTAAATTTATTGTTTTGTATTTCTGGTACTTTCTTACAAGTTGATTTTTAGCTGTAAGACATTTGTTGAGAATCTTAGGAATGTAAGAATATATCATTTCTTCACTTGTAAACTACAAATACAATTTAGTTACAAAATAAACTCTCCTGAATTTTGAATCTTATAAAATAAAAGAATCTCAATTAATGATTGACCTAATCCAAGGTCAGTCATTTTTAAAAAGTATTAATGTATATACCTGGCTAATCAGTATTAGTAAATGATAGCAAAGAAAGCTGAATTTTAATTTTAATCTGTCTTACAGATAGTAAATCCTTTTTCCTTACAAATAAAAGTCCAATCCTACTGTAAGAAAGTAAACTGTACTTTCTATACATGTCAATGCCTTTAAAATTCTAGCTTCCACTTGGTATATCACCTGTTCTAATATGTTAGGGTACTCCAAAATCTGAAAGGCCTAAATGAGCCTCTTTTTCCTCAGTATTTAGAAATCCAACAGTTTAAAGTTTCTTTGATACCCAGAATGTGAAATGTATAGATGTACCTGAATGTGATAGAGAGAATGGCTGGAAAACACTCTTCAGGATATTATCCAGGAGAACTTCCCCAACCTAGCAAGGCAGGACACCATTCAAGCCCAGGAAATACAGAGAATACCACAAAGATATTCCTCAAGAAGAGCAACGCGAAGGCACATAATCGTCAGATTGACCAGGGTTAAAATGAAGGAGAAAATGCTAAGGGCAGCCAGAGAGAAAGGTCGGGTCACCCACAAAGGGAAGCCCATCAGACTCACAGCAGATCTCTCAGCAGAAATCCTACATGCCAGAAGAGAGTGGGGGCCAATATTCAACATCCTTAAAGAAAAGAACTTTCAACCTAGAATTTCATATCCAACCAAACTAAGCTTCATAAGCAAAGGAGAAAGAAAATCCTTTAACGAACAAGCAATTGCTGAGACATTTTGTCACCACCAGGCCTGCTTACAAGAGCTCCTGAAAGAAGCAATAAACAAGGAAAGGAATAACCAGTGCCAACCACTCCAAAAACATACCAAATGGTAAAGACCATCGACATAATGAAAAAAATGCATAAATGAACAGGCAAAACATCCAGCTAGCATCAAAATGGCAGTATCAAATTCAGACATAACAATATTGATCTTAAATGTAAATGGGCTAAATGCCCCAGTCAAAAGACACAGACTGGCAAATTGGATAAAAAGTCAAGACCCATCGGTGTGCTGTATTCAGGAAACCCATCCCACGTGCAAGGACACACATAGGCTCAAAATAAAGGGATGGGGGAAGATTTATCAAGCAAATGGTGAGAAAAAAAAGCAGGAGTTGCAATCCTAATCTCTGATAAAATGGACTTTAAACCAACAAAGATCAAAAGAGACAAAGAAGGGCATTACATAATGGTAAAAGGATCAATGTAACAACAAGAGCTAATGATCCTAAATATATACGCACCCAATACAGGAGTACCCAGGTATATAAAGCAAGTTCTTAATGACCTAAAAAGAGACTTAGGCTCCCAAACAATAATTGTGGGAGAATTTAACACTCCACTGTCAGTATTAGACAGATCAACGAGACAGAAAATTAACAAGGATATCCAGGACTTGAACTCAGATCTGGACCAAGTGGACCTAAACAGACATCTACAGAACTCTACATGCCAAATCCAAAGAATATACAATCTTCTCAGCACTGCACTGCACCTACTTTAAAATTGACCACATACTTGTAAGTAAATCACTCTCAGCAAATGCAAAAGAATGGAAATTATAACAAACAGTCTCTCAGACCACATGGCAATCAAATGAGAATTCAGAATTAAGAAACTAACTCAGAATCGCACAGCTTCATGGAAACTGAACTACTGGCTCCTGAATGTCGACTGGATAAACAATGAAATGAAGGCAGAAATAAAGATGTTCTTTGAAACCAACAAGAACAAAGACACAATGTACCAGAATCTCTGGGACACATTTAAAGCAGTGTCCAGAGGGAAATTTATAGCAATAAATGCCCACATGAGAAGCAGGGAAAGATCTAAAATCGACACTCTATCACCAAAATTGAAAGAGCTACAAGAGCAAGATCAAAAAAGCTCAAAAGCTAGCAGAAGACAAGAAATAACTAAGATCAGAGCAGAACTAAAGGAGATAGAGATATAAAATGCCCTCCAAAAAAATCAATAAATCCAGGAGCTGGTTTTTTGAAAAGATCAACAAAACAGACAGACCGCTAGCCAGATTAATAAAAAAGAAAAGGGAAAAGAATCAAATAGATGCAATAAAAAAACAATTAAGGGGCTATCATGACTGATTCCACAGAAATACAAACTACAACCAGAGATTACTACAAACAACTCTATGCACATAAACCAGTAAACCTGGGAAAAATGGATGAATTCCTAGACACCTGCATCCTCCCAAGCCAAACCAGGAAGAAGTTGAAACCTTGAATAGACCAATAACAAGGGCTGAAGTCGAGGCAGCAATTAATAGCCTACCAAGCAAAAATAGCCCAGGTCCAGATGGGTTCACAGCCAAATTCTACCAGATGTATAAAGAAGAGCTGGTACCATTCCTTCTGAAACTATTCCAAACAACACAAAAAGAGGGAATCCTTTCCAAATCATTTTATGAGACCAACATCATCCTGATACCAAAACCTAGCAGAGACTCAACAAAAAAAGAAAACTTGAGGCCAATATCCACGATGAACATCGATGCAAAATTCTTCAATAAAATACTGGCAAACTGATTGCAACAGCACATCAAAAAGCTTATCCCTCACGATCAAGTAGGCGTCATTCCAGGGATGCAAGGCCGGTTCAACATACGCAAGTCTATAAATGTAATCCACCACATAAACAGAACCAAAGACAAAAACCACATGATTATCTCAACAGATGCAGAG